ATCCAGTTAGTGTGACCTTCCCGTGGTAACTTAGCATAGCGGAACGGAAGATTTCTTTTGACTCCACACTTTCCCCTATCAAAAACAGGAAAAGCTGGTAGATTAAAGAACTACCTGCTCTAAAAAACAACAGAGAAATACTTGTGAAATCTTGATTCAGATGTAAAAGCACCATAAAGTCAGGAAAACGTACCTGTGCAAAAAGGGTCCTCACGGGGCCCCTCAGACGCACTCAGGTCCGGGGTGTCCACTTGGGCCCAGGATATGGACTCCCGGGGCCTGAGGCCAGGGCCCCTCACTCCTCCACCTCCTTCACCGCTTCCTCTTCTGCTGTCTCCAAAGTGTCATCTGGGCTGTCACTAACCACTTCATCTGGTACAGTAAGGGCAATATATTCACACTTTTTTTGCTCCTGCAGTATCACTGACCATTTCCTCAGGCGTGTTGATCACTGTGTGTGCAGTGTGATGTGTCACAGCACGTGGTAGAGAAGAAACACAAGAAAACCCATCTTCAGAGGTTGGTGGTAAGGAGGGTGAGTTTTGCTTCTCATCCTAACCCCCAGTGGGAATTTTTTCATCCTGACCCTCAGTATGATTTTTTGGTTTGTGTTGTCCATGGATGGTCCATCCTTTAAAGTAATACAAAGGGTTCCACATTAGGCAAGATATTTTTAACATAATACAAGCTCCCTCCTCCCTTCTCCCCTCCTTTTGAAGAGCCTGTACCATGGTACTGCTCTAAAACATGTTTCTTTCTTTCTTTCTTTCTTTTCTTTTCTCTCTCTCTTTTTTTTTTTTTTGTACTGGGAATCAAACTCCTGACCTTGGACTTGCGAACAGGTGGCAGAACCACTGAGCTAAATCCCCTGCCCTTCTTTTGGTTTCTTTTTTTTTTTTATAAGAAAAATAATCTTTATTTAAACAAATAAAAACATGTTTTCTTTCTTTCTTTTCTTTTCTCTCTCTCTTTTTTTTTTTTTTGTACTGGGAATCAAACTCCTGACCTTGGACTTGCGAACAGGTGGCAGAACCACTGAGCTAAATCCCCTGCCCTTCTTTCTTCTTTTAGGAAGAATCTGCAGTTATTACAGAATTCACTTTGTCCCATTGTCTTTGGTCACCTGTTAAGCTTTTAATAAGCCTACTTTTTTTGTGGAAAAAAAAAATGGGTGTCTTTGCAGAAAGAACTTGTAGGCTGACTTCTCTCCTATGGTATTCTTATTTGGAATCAGAAAAATGTAATTGCAGGATTTAAAAATTTAGATCGGAAAGGTGTATTAGTCATTTCTAAATTTTCTATAGTATTTATCTTTTGACATTTTGGGTCCCACCAGGCCAGGAAAAACTGCCCCTCATAGGACTGGCTAATAAACAGCTCACTTGTGAGTTGCCTTTCATATGCAAACCAACTAATCCAGAGTCCCTGTCCACAAGCCCACCCCTCTCCCTTGTTTTCTTTCTTCATTTCTGAGGGTTGAACCCAGGGCCTTTACACTGGACTATATCACCAGGCCTTTTTAAATTTTTTTATTTTGAGACAGGATCTTGCTATAAATCACTAAGTTGCTCAGGCTGACTTCATCTTGCCACCCTCTCTCCTGCGTCAGCCTCCCTCTTAGAGCGCTGGCATTACACCTGTATGCCAACCAACCTGACTAGCCACTTCCTTTGTCTAAGTCCCACATGGCCAAGAAAGACTTGAACCATGAGCCTTCTTCCTGGCTCTGAATGTAGGGTTTGTGTGAAAAAAGGTGATGGTGGGCAATCCCAGCCACAAGCATTTCCAAACAAAAGAGGAAATCCTGTAAGAACAACAAAAATAGCAGCTAACTTTGGGGCTTAAACCTAGTGAAATAGGAAGAAAAGGGCTAAAGGTGTAGGGAAAGTGGGAAGGGTAGGGGAAAGGAAACAAGGGAAAAGAAACAAATATGAGAAAATGAAAAAATGGAAATAAGAGTTTTTGTAAATAGAGGAGGGAGGAGGGGGTGACGGGAGGGCAGGGACAAGGGGAAAAAATGAAAACCAAGACTTGTCCTATAAAGGTACAGGATCCCAGCAATGAATGTAACTGTACTGTATCCCTAAAATGTACCAATAAACTCAATGAGGAAAAAAAAAAAGTTCAAATGTACTAATAAACTTAATTAAAAATTAAAAAAATAAATTGCTATCTTTCACCAAGCACTTTTCAAAAGAACTTAAGTTTCTGCAGCCGTTTTCGTTTCATATTATATTCATGATTCCATTTCCAAAAATGATTTACTTCTAAGTAAATCTATTTTGCCCTTCCCAAGTCAAGTATTTCCTAGCGAAGGACACTGTATTCTCAATCCACCACCCAGAGACTAAGGAAAAAAGCAGAAAGAGAAATAGACTAGAAAGACCAAAACCCAGGATTCATTTCATATTCTATTAGGGTTCGTAGAGCCAGTTTCTCTAGGATTCTGTTTCTTTCAGGCTATTATTAGGTTCAGTGAAGATGACAGGTCAAACGTGTTTAATACTAAAGTTCTACTGAGGTCACAGTTAGCACTGCTTACGTGAAGGCCTATGGCCACCTCTTCTGGAGAATGCCAGTCCCACAGAGGCCCTCTAGCAATGACTTTATATTTCACCAGTAGAGAAATGATAACTCCTTGCCTAGATGTTGGGAAAAGGTAAATGCTGAATCTTTATAAAGCATAGAAAGGCAGTTGTTTTAAAAATATGTCATTTAAAATAGTTAAAACCACAGTACGACCTGAAGACCACCACCACCCTGCCTTCACAACCTACTCCTAAAGAAACCGTGCATCTACCTTAAATACACAAATGTACACTTCAAATACAGTTTCAACAGAGGAATTCTAATTATGGATTCTCAGAACTCTGTACTTGCTTCATATATCTTCAATGCTATTTTAAAAGGCAAAAGTTAGAAGAAATCTGATAGCTATACAACAGAATACTAAGCAAAAACAAAAACTCCAAACAACAAAATTGTATTTCTCTTTACTGACAAAAGAACTGTAATCGTAATATAGTGAACATATGTTGTCGAGTTCTCTAAGCTTTTTATAGTATAAAACCATGACTCCTTCAGTATTGAGAAAATTAGGTTACTTCAAATTATTTTTTATTCATGGGACAGTGACCAACTGATTATTTCTGTATGAAAAGCCTGGAAGCCCTAAAGGGGTGAACTTGTGTTCAAGTAGAGTCATTTTAATCCACCTTCTGCTAACAATACCTGAAAATCAACATTTTTATTGCACTTTAGAAAAATGAGAACATTTAAGAGAAAGCAACACTTACCAAAAAGAGACAAAAATGACTAATTTCACACTTAGAAACTTGCCAATGGGGTGGAGTGGCTTCAGTTCTTCCTTGAGTGTGGTATAGAACAAAATAAGGCAATACATGGCCACCTGTGAATGAGAGTCACATTTAAACTTCTGCAGTAAGGATAACTAAAGCAACATTAAATTATAAACCAGAGGCTTGGTACAGTTCAGGCAAAATTTTCTAAGCTCTATTACTCTGTAGATTAACAAAAAGCATTTAATTTTTTCTCTTTAGGAATATATTTACAAAATCAAAGTTCTCAAAAGAGATATAGATCCCCCTCCCTGCAGACATCCATGGAAGAAAACACTTGTTCAGCCAAAATAAAAAGTCTATAATGGCTTTTAAATACAAGTTACCATTTTTAATGGTTCAGCTTCTTATCCCCTCTGTTACCTAACATTGTACATATATGAAGGAAGACAGCACCTTAAACAAGAACGGTTTCAACAAAATTGTGACCAGGAAATCAGAAAATAAGGAATCAGGGAAGCAATTTTTCTTCTGGGTGGCATGTCAGTCCAGGTAAATTTACTTTTGAAAATCAGTGCCTATGGTTTATTTTAGAGCTCAATTATAACAATGTAATGCCACATTAGAATGGCAGAAACACTTTCCCAAAATTTGACTGCTTTCATTAAAAAATAAAATGCTCACTTGAAGTGTTTCAGAATCCAAAAGCAATAAAAGACAAATAAAGTTACTCAGACCCCTATCTGACCCTATATATCCAAGAGTATAGATACACTCTTTTTTTTTCTCTTTTCTTTTGTAGAGCTACAGGTCAAACCCAGGACCCGGCCCATGCTAAGCAAGCTCCCTACAATGAGCTACAGTTTCAAGTATAAGCTATTTTTTAGATAACTGTCATGAATTCAATATAAAACATTTGATCACTTTATAAGGATCATTCTTAAGATGGGACTGATATTTTGGTCAAGAGCCTGATCATAATATATTTAATTAGTTCCTATCACGGGACTTTGGGCTGTTTCCAGGCTTTTGCTGTTACAAACAATACTTTTTAGTCAAAACAAATATTGAGCATTTCTTTACAATAATCCCAGTATTTGGGAGGCTGTGGCAGGAGGATCACTGTGAGTT